TGGTTGCAAATGCGTTTTTTTTTTTTGGAGACCTGTCTGGAGACCTGTGCTTAATATTTTTCTGGAAAGCATGATATAATTTTTTCAGGCTTCATTGAAGAATAGAAGTTTTAAAAGAACAGCATTTATTTAAAATGGAAATATTTTGTTACATTAAAAATTTCTTTCTGGTGCATTTTTGCTGAATAAAAGTATTAATTTCTTTAAAAAAATCTTACTGAACCCAATTTGTTGAACGGTAGTATATACATGTTATTCGTGTTTGTGTGTGTATGTATATTTCAGTGTGTGCCAGACATCCTGATCCATCGTCCTATTCATTGTTCATTATGATAAGCTTGTGTCAGTTGGGCACCTCAGATCTGTAAATGTGTGTATGTGTCCACTTGCCAATTGGAGGTTATCAACCCCCACCCGCTGTACCCACTGCCATGCCCCAGATGAAAAGCAGAGCTGCCCTGCCTGGTCAGGGTCTTTGTTCCTCTATACCAGAGATAATGAGAGATATTAGCTTGCTCTTTTTCATTTGCCTCTCTTTCTTCTTTTGTGCACACACACTTACACTTGCACACTCGTACACTTGTACACTCTTTTCTATCTCATCCCACCCACATACGGCACAAACACTTGTTCTGCTGTTCACTTATTCACACTCATTCAGCTTATAATGTGACTGAATCCCCTTTATAAAATCATCTTAAATCTGAACCTTTTCCAAGTGATTTTTTCCAGCTCCTTCTGAATTCAAAGGCATAATTCCCTCTGACTTTCTGTCTTTAAATGTACATCTGTGCCAGGATAGAAGGCTTTGCACTTCATAATAGATTATCGATCGGTGTAATTGCGATCATATACTGTTCCATGTGGTTATTCTTGCAAATAGCGTGTTTCCTTGTGCTCCCTAATTTTATATTTAGGGTTATGCACAGGGCTGGTAATAAAGTTCTGGGGGCCCAAGGCAAAATTTTGTGAGGGGGCCCCTGTCGGTGCCTCCAAAATGTCGGTCAATCCCTTAATCGGTTCTTTCAGAGCAGTTTCACTGTCAACAAACAACAGTTACAACTGTGCACAAACAAATTACGAACAATAGGACAAATACTATAGAAAAAATATACAAAATAAGCAATTTAGCTTACTAAAAATAATAGCTTACTGCAGCAGGTTTATTAGGCTGCTGTCACTTTAAGACTGAATGCACAGATTTAATATACTGATAAGCATTTGATTACTTTCACTTGAGACATAACTGACTGCATTTAAGTGAAAACTTAACATTTTGAGATATTTTGTGTGTATTTGTCCATTTAAGTGCACACCCAAAGCCTAAAGTAGGCTATACTTGTCTCCGTTTCGTCTGTCTCAGATTGCGTGCACAGAAAGCCACCTGGGGAACAGCATCTCTTTCGCAGCTCTCGTTTACTGTTGAGCACGTCCGGCAGGAGACCGTATATTACAATAGACACATTACATGATTTGACTGATTTGGATGTTATGTAGGAAGGGCGACAATGCACCGCTTTAAAGGAAGGAAACAGAATGCGTTATTGTGTTGTCATAATTGTTAGAAGCCAAATCAAAAATGAAGCTAAAATTCTGTTAATCATACAGCTTTAGTCATTAAATCTTTGAGAGCAAGGGGGCTCCCTGGCGTTCGGGGGCCCTGTGCAACTTGTGTACTTTGTGTATAGGAAGGACCGGCACAGCTTATGCCTCTATTATTATGTGGATCAATAAGAAAGGGTCAGGAGATATTTGTTCTGGATGTGTTTGAGGCCAGACTCGAACCCTATTACTCACATGAGTGCCAAGGCTCAAAACTTCAAGAGCAAATTCGTTAAGTCAAGTCAAGTCAAGTCAAGTCTGCTTTATTGTCAATTTTTCCACATGTACAGTACATACACACAGAGAATTGAAATTGCGTTACTCTCAGACCCTTGGTGCATACAGATAACACTAACAGTAGAACATAAATACAGATAGATACAGATTAAATATAAAATACAACTATACAAATATACAAATAAGGTAAAATGTAAAAAAATATATAAAGCAGCACAAGGCACATGGCAGATAGAGTGCAGAGTGCAAACCAGTGAAGTAAACAAACAGTGCAGATA